TTACTTTAAATATTCTAAAAATTATTATTATTAGTTGAAAATGTACTTTGATTGAAAATAAGAATGACAATAATTAATTGAGATTTTACATTGATTAATTTGCAAATCTACAATAATAAATTAATTTAATAATAACTTTTGGATAACCGATGATGAATATATTTTGAAAAGGGAGCGAAATTTAGCTGTTTTACTATTATTATTTTTACATTTTTTCATTTATCTTTTGCATATCAAAACCTCATCTCTTTTTTTATAAAAGTATTAGACACTTTCATGTTATCATATCATAAGCATTTGTATGTGAATTGTTTTAAGTACATTTTTATAGATTTTTAGACATATTATCTTCTTCTTTTTTAATATAATTCATAGTAACTAATTGCATTAGGTTAGATTTTTATATTTATCTTTTATTATTTGTATCGTGTTATTCTAACAATTTTTATAGGTTTTAATAAGAATCAAATTGATAAAAATCTATTTTGTATTCGTTGGAAAACTATGCATGATTAACTTTACCATATCAAATTGTTAGCTACTTGTTTGACACTAAACATGCTTTAGTCAAGTAATGTTAATTTGATAGTATAAACAACACCTTATCAAATTTGGCATCGTTGTCAAGAAATACAATTAGTATTTTTAGTATTTTGATTCTTATTTATTTTCTTTGAGTTAAAAGTTTATTTATTTATTTTATTTTATTTGATTCTTTTAATCCATATGCATTTAATCTAGTTTGTGTTTTTGTAGTCTTTGTTTATTTAAATTTTCTAGAAAAAATATTGTTTTTGCTTTTATTAAAAAAATTCTTTTTAGAAATATTTCAAACTAGTTGGGTAATACTTTTGCTAGGAAAGACTTGATATTTATATCTGCCTCTCTTTTTTAGGAGTGAACTTAATAACCTCTTAACTTATGTCTTTCTAGAAACCTTTCTCCAAAGCAAGAACAAGAAAAAAAAAATAAAAGAATAAAGAAGAACTCTCAGTAAATTGCATAATGTATGACTTTCGCAAATTCGGGCGAATTCCATCAAATTGATCCAATAATTGAAAGGAACTTGCATAAAGCTCGTAGAAGATTTCATTTTGGGTGTTCTACTTAGGGAGCACCTCAACATCTGAAGATACCAATGAAATTGTACCACCAGTATCTTAAGATATCTTATGATCCTTCGCTCCAACAGAAAATTCAAGAAAATAAAATGGCGGAAAGAACATTGAGATAGTTGGTTGCACCATATGTGACTACACCAAACATGTGCATCCAATACCCATATGAAGAATGCGAGCTAAAATTTGGGTTAATCCACCTTTTACCTAAGTTCCATGGATTAGTAGGAGAAGGCCTACACAAGCATTTAAAGGAATTTCATGTTGTTTTTTCATCCATGAGACCTACAACAATGATTGAGGAATACATCAAGCTTAAAGCTTTTCCATTTTCACTACAAGATGTTGTAAAGAGTGGTTATACTACCTTATACTAGTATCCATTAACACTTGTGAAACTCTAAAAAGATTATTTCTTTTTTTTTAAATCCCAGCTTCTAAGGTGGTTGCTATTTGTTAAGAAATTTATGGGATAAGGCAACAATAAAGAGAAAGTCTTCATGTGTACTGGGAGAGAAAGTCTTGTCCTCATCACCAAACACATGAGTAACTCCTCATTCAATACTTTTATGAGGGATTGAATTTCTTGGACAAGTAATTGATAGATGCTATGAGTAGAAAGACGTTGATAGACAAAATGCAAATTGATGCAAGGCAACTAATTGAGAACATGGCGTCTAACCATCAACAATTAACCACCACGATGTTAAAAAGCAATAAATACATAAATAAAATAAAAATAAAAACACAAATAAAATAAATAAATAAAATATATAAAATGATAAATGTTTTGCTTTCTTTACCTCAAAACAACTTGTTTAAGTAAAACTTTACTTCTTTATAGATTAAGTAATTTTTCCAAACTACTTTAAAATCTTGATCAATAGAGAAAGAAAATATAAATGGAAAAGAATTAGGAAAAAAGATGGATGAATGCAACTATCAAAACTTTTTGTTTCACTTCTCGTTTAAACATTATATAAAAAAATTATATTATTATTATAGGCTTAATTAGTGATTTAGTAGTATAACTAATTGCTTTGGTTTCCTTTTTATTTTTTGTTCAATTTAGTCAATCAATTTTTTAAAAATGTTCAATTTATTCATGGTAGTTAATTTTGCGTAAACGTCGTTTAGATGGAGCTCATCTACCATACAGGAGTATAAACATGACAAATATATTAATTTTCGAATGCGATTGGACGAGATGAAGTGGCAACAACGTCCCGTTATGGATATATTATTTTTCTTTCTCATCTTTAAACTCTAACTTTCATCTTCTTTATTTTCAGACTCCATCTTTACATTATTCATACCCATTCTCCTTCCACTACCACTCATCATCTCCATCTTTCTCCTCACGAACCAAGGCCCTCATCATAACCACTATCCCCAACACCTTCACCTTCAACCATCACAAACTTCATAAACCATAAAGTCTATCGTCCTAAAAGATTGAACCTCACACTCTATTCCTCTTATTAACCCCACACTCCATTTTTATCTTTCATTGCAACAACATTACACAAAAAACCAACTCCCCACACACCCTTCACTTTCATCTTCTTCTCTCATTCATCCCAAACCACCATCAAACATCATTTTTCTTCCTCCAACCAACGCACCATTATTCATCACACCAAAACACAACCTCACCTTGAACCTTTATCTTTATTCACTTCATTACCCCAATTTTAACAATAACACACGAGTCTAATTTCATTTTATCTACATCAAGGTCTTCTCCTTCCTCAACACCATTCACATGCAAACAGAGAACACAACACTTCACAAATTTTACACAACACATTGAGCACCCTTACTTTTCTCCATTTCCACGACATTAATAAACAATAATCAACCAAAAATACCCAAAAAAACCAAGACCAATAAAAAAAGGTGGGAAGAAGAGTGAATGGTACTAACGAGGACGAGGGAGAGAATAATAACGTTTCCGATTAATGGTGTGATGACGAACGAAGGTGGAAAGTGTATTTATGTCGTCTCCAATTTCCATTTGGCTTATGTGCGGTGAGTAGAGTTTCTCAATTTGGTGAGATAAGGTGCGGCTGCGTCGGGACAGAACAACATTGTCGAGAATGCCAATGATGTCGTCGGCCATGTTGTAGAGGCTGCAGTGGGGGAGGTTGCCCTTACATGAGATGAAAGAAGGAGGAGCCTTTGGTGTCTTAGGGTTTTGGAAGAAAAATAGAAAATTGGGCTTGAACATATGAGGAGTTCTTCCTTATTCATCTTCATCCTAATTACAAATTTGTAACCAATAATCCACGTTAGCTAATTGCAAAGACATAGATTCCATATAATCACTCTAGCTCACTTTGTCGTTAAATATTGGTATAATACCTATTTTGGTCCCAATTTTGGTTGGGAAAATTCGAAATGGTCACAATTTTTTGTTGTTGTTTAATGTAGTCCCAAAGAATGTAATTTGTAATCAATTTGGTCCTTTTAGCAAACACCGTCCAAATCGTTAACGGCGAGATATCCACATGTGCAATTACAGAGTGAAATGGGCTTACGTGGAGTCCTTTGTGGCGTTGTCAGTTGGATTTATTATTTTTCAAATTGTATTTTATGAAACCCTTTACAGAGGTGAAATGAGGGTGGATTCTCAAATTAGGGTTTTTGCTTTTGTTCTTTGAAAGCCACAGTGACGTTAGATGTTAACCAATCTTCTTCCCAATCTTGGTCGTTAATGAGCCATGTCTGGTTCCCAATCTTCTTCTTCTTGTTGTAATAGCTTGGGGCACCGAAGTTGTCGTTGTTGACATGGTGGTGGTTCAATGGGGCTAGGGATAATCCCCATTTGCAATTGTGGTGAGATGACAGTAGTAAAAATGGCTAGAACTTCAAAGAATGCGGGAAGATATTTTTGGGGTTGTCGTAACTACAAGGTAATTAGAATAACCCCTATGTTGTTTATGTGATAGTAATTAACATTGTGTTTGAAGTTTTTGTTCATGAATAACAAAGTGGAACTAGTAATGCAATGTGTTGCAACTATTTTAAGTGGTACAATGAAGAAAATGTTGATGAAAAGGATGTTATTATTGGGAGGCAAAGGAGGAAGATTTTTAATCTGGAAAACACAATCAAGGCTTTAAAAAAAAGGATCAAATTATTAGTAGCAGTGGATGATGTTGTTAGTGTAGTGAACATAGTTATGTTCTGTGAGTTTTTAGAATGATATGTTGTGTGTATTTTGGTTCAACTTATGATGTGTTTTAGGTGGTCCCAATCTGGTTGAATGTAATGATTTTAGGTCAATGGAGTTGAACAGTTTTGATGTTGAGGTTCTGCCTATGTGTTTTGTAATGAATGAAGGAATAAAATTTGTGTTAGTAAGTAATTGTTAATTTAAATCCCTATTTTCGTTAATTATTTGCAAATATGGTCCCTGTGATGATGACTGATGTGTCCATAAAGCAATAAACAACAATATCTTTGCAATTGTATAAAGCATAAAAACGATATGTTTGCATAAACAAAACTGAGGTCATGGTTACATGTAAGGATTTAAACTCCAATGTATATCAAAACATATCAAGTGCCACTTCCAAATGTTTAGCACAGAAGTAACCAATTCGAACAAAAGAAAAGTACAACAACATTATAACATTATAAAACACATGGTCTTTTAATTGGTAACTTGTCCCTTCTTCTTTTATGAGTTTGTTCTTCTCTAGATTCTTGTGTTGGTTGTGGAGGTCCTTCAGATTGTTGTGTCATTTCCTCAATTGGTGGTTGGGGTGGTTGTTGAGATGCCTCTGGTAGGTCTGCTTCATGTTGAGGACGTAATGGGCAATTATTTTTGTTATGGCCACCTTTGGTCATCTGGGTCTCATCCCTCCTTAGCTCCCATTATTCCAACCTTCTTTTTTTCTTTAGTCTGCCAGGTAATGTTCTCTTCAATGGTGGGAGGACGTCTGGGTAGGATGTTCTTTCCCATAACAGGTGGCCATTCACAGGAAACATGATGGAGGCATATGTTTCATCGTAAGTGGACCGTCTGAAGGAAATTGGTATATAATCTTCTGGATCTAAATTTAAGAACTTCATGGCTACAATTGCATGGCAGCAAGGGATCCCAGTAATAAGCCATTTCCTGCACGAACATTCTTGACTGTTCAAGTTAACTACAAACTTGTTTGTAATTTGTGCAAAATGTCTAACTTCATAAAGTTTTTCTGCAGACCAACTGCCATGAAATAATAAATGAATACAAGTTAAAAATTAAGTGATAAATACGGCCATTTTAATCACAAACCAAGTGCCATCAAGTAATAGAGGGAAAGAAAAAGCATACCTAGGGATCCAATTTTTGGATAAATTTGACTCATTTGTAAGTCTCTTTCTAATCTTGGGGCATATATCAAAGTCCATATTACACATCTTAATTCTGTTGGTTGCCCATCTTTTCATGAGGTATACTCTAATTTCTTCAAGCATGGTTATAACTGGCTTTTCTCGTGCATCAACAATCACACTATTAAAACCTTCACTCATGTTATTGGTTAGTGTATCACAAAGTGCTATACCTGTAAATCTAGATCTAGACCAAAATCTGTTACAAGGAATAAAAACGATGTTTATATCCACTCTACATGTCATCAATGTTTATAGCAATTAGGTATTTGCAAGCCTTTTGATTGACTTCCTTTATATTTAACATTTCTCTTTCCCGAGCTTGGGGGTATGTACTTGCAACAACCTTCCACATCAGATTCTTCAAGTTTTGCCCTAAAAACTTTTTCCTGAAATTTGCATATAAGTATCGCATGCAAAATTTGTGCTTTGCCCAGGTAACAGTTCAGATATAGTTGGTAATAAACCTCGTAAAAAAAGGACCAAATTGAACATTTTAAACAAAAACCAGGACCAATTTTGATAATATAACAGAGACATATCAAAAATACATTTACCTTTTGTTGATCAGACATAAAAGTGCATGAATTGCAGACTTCAGCACCCCCAAGGTCTTCTATCAACAACTCCAAAAACCATGTCCAACTATCTTTATTCTGTACTTCCATAATTGCATATGCCAGAGGTAACATTTGGTCATTAGGATCTCTACAAATAGCTGTTAATAACTCCCCCTTATACTTTCCTTTCAATATACAACCATCTAAACCAATAAATGGCCTACAAGAGAGGAAGCTAACCTTGCAAGCATTCAAACAAACATAAAACCTCTGAAATGTTGTTTCACCATGGTCAGTATCCACTTTAACTTTTACTGTTGATCCAGGGTTACATCTCAATAATTCATGTGCATAGTCATATATTCTTTTGAACTGATTTTTATAACTACCTTCAACTTTGAAAGATGCAATTATCTTTACCCTAAAAGCTTTAGAAATTGTGACATTGGTATTCCATTTCCTCAAAGCTTTTGAGCGTATTTCATTTATCTTCAAATTCGGATTTTCATGTAGTGAATTATCTAATGTCTCACTCAACCACTTAACATTCATCATTTTAATGTTGAATTGCCTACTGCAAGTATGATTGTCCAAAATTTTTCTCAATTGTCATGTCCTACATCCTTCCAAATAGCCACAATAAGCCATCCATGGACAACTTTTTTGGGCACCCAAACATCTTACTCGTACCCTTCTGTTATCATTCTTAATAAACTTCAAATTCCTTCCACCATGAACTGCATAACTTATAACAATATCCATAAACTCATTTTTATCCCTAAACTTTGTTCCTACTTCCCACTTGTATTCAGACATACTCTTTTGCATAACAAATGTCCCAAATGGACCACAACTTTGCCGTTCATCACTTGCATCCTCACTTCCACTTTCTTCTAGAGTGGCCAAAAAATCTGACTCCCACTCATCATCAGACAACCCCCTGTCATATGGGTTTTTCTGGCTATGTGCAATATCGTCTATATCCTCACTTCCACTTTCTTTATTTTCATTAACTTCCACTGATACAACCCCTTCTATATCGTCCAAAAGTACTTCATCAACATTTACATCAACATCCACTAGTCCTTCATCCCCTTCTCCTTCATCACTATCCCCTTGTCCTTCATCATCAGACACACTTGAAGTAAAATCTTCAACGTAAACTTCTTCCTCCACATGCACGTGGTGTTCGTCCTCCACCTCTACTTCCTCCTCCTCCCCCTGCACTTCATCATCCAAACCATGGACCTCCACTTCATCATCCAAACCATGCACCTCCACTTCATTCAAACCATCTTCTTTATCCAAACCCTGCCCCTCTACTTCATTCAAACCCTCCACTTCATCCAAAACATGCACCTGGACTTCATTCAAACCATCTTCTTCATCCAAACCCTGCCCTTCAACTTCATTCAACACCTCCACTTCATCCAAACCCCGCCCCTCCACTTCATCCAAACCCTGCACCTGGACTTCATTCAAACTCTCTACTTCATTCAAACCCTGCACCTCCACTTCATCCCCATCCCCACCTACATGGCTATCTTCTCCATTGTCTAAACTTCCATGACAGAGCAAAAGAAGTTGTTCACTTACTTCATTTTCAAGCACCTCTGGCTCATCATCCACACCGTGGTCCACAAACAAGTTAACTTCTCCAAAATACTTAACAACGTTTACCATGTTCATTGCACCTCTATCATCAACCAACTTATGCAGAATATTTTGAACACAATAAAATATGTCAGTCACTTTAATATACCCCAATTCCTTAATAACATCTACCACTTCGAAATAACTCCATTTGTTAGGGTCCACAGTCCAATATGTCATTTCCCTACCAACATATTAAAAAAGAAAATAATTTACTAGGGTCCCACCATGGTGGATCACAACATTAAACCTCTCCTCAGACATCCCAAACGCAAGCGTACAAAATGAACTTTATGGGCATGAGACCACTATATAAACGATAAAAGTAACTACTAACAGGTATGGGAAACCAAAACCAAAGACAGAAAAGCGACAATGACCTTCACACAACCAATTATAATACATTACACACCAATACACTAAACAGTTTACACAAATGTTACCAAAATTCTAACTTTTCCAAAATCTAACACTCACAAACCAAAAAATTTCCAACTTTCACACTATAGAACAAAAATATTATATATGAATGCCACAAAGCAAAGATTACGAACGCAAACCTGATTTTCCCAAAGATGAATGCTTCCAATTCGAACAACACGTCACTGGTGTTCTCTCCTAAACCTGTTCTTCCCAATCTCGCAGATTTCCCTCCCAAACCTCGACCAAAACTTCACAACTAACTACCTTAATTTATTTTTCAAAAGAATAACCCTAATAAAAGAAATACAATTTGAAAAATAATAAATACAACTCACAACGCCACAAAGGACTCCACGTAAGCCCATTTAACTCTGTAATTGCACATGTGGACATCTCGCCATTAACGATTTAGACGGTGTTTACTAAAAGGACCAAATTGAACACAAATTACATTCTTTGGAACTACATTAAACAGAAAAAAAAATCGGGACCATTTTGAATTTTCCCAACCAAAATTGGGACCAAAATAGGTATTATACCTTAAATATTTTAACATTATTAATGTCAATGACTAAATCGAACCTTTTTAAAAAATTGAATGACTAAATTAAACCAAAAAATAATAAGCAGACCAAACTGAACCAAACTAACAAATAAGATGACTAAATCACTAATTAAGCCTATTATTATATAATTATTTTAATATTATTCTTTTTCTATACATTTTCAAACATGTAATAGTAAAGCCATAATTGAGTAATTAAATATTATAGTAGTGTTTCACATTTAGCAACTTATGGTAATTAGGAGAAAACTTGTTGACTTTTTAGAAGAGTTATTTCGTATCCCAAATGCGAAAATGATATTTCTTATTATAGACCTCTGCATGTAAATTTGAATGGTCATATTAAAGAATATTATCTTAATATCATGCTATAAAATTTTGAGCTTGATACAATGGTTAACAAAGCTATAATTGAATTGTTACTAAAGTAATTTGAAATAGGAAATAGGCGTAGCTAGTTCAACCAACAAATTTTTTTTCTCTAACCCAAACCTCTAAATGGAAATCCCAATGATTAGAATGAAGCACTACGTCTTATAAACTCGAGATAAAAATTTCATCCAGATCTAACTATTAATGAAACACGAATAAAATTTTTACCAAGACAACTCAAAACTAGAGAATATGTGAAACCTAACTTTTACATTGAAATGTGGAAACTATTTCTCATAGCATAAACTTCCATTTGTAAGTCCCACTGATCAAAATGGATAACTATATTTCAATAATACTCTGTAAAAATTGCAGTCTAATACAATGGTTCATGAGATTGTTATCACAATTTTGTCGAGGTAATTTAGGAACGGGAACAAGTTGGCACTTCAAAATCATCCTTTAGATTTTTACAAAACAATTTTTCATAATTTCTCAATTTAGCTATAAGAACATACTTAAATAAAAAATTTAAATAAAGATAATATAACATAAAGGGTGTTACAATTATACGTAAGATGTTATTTATATTGTAAATATTTTAGATCTTACAATTATAAATTATTTTCCTTATAAGATACTTAACTATTTTTATAGTATAAATTCATTATTAAAAGAAAATCAAGTTTTTATTCAAGTATTCTTCAAAAATTAAATTTATTTTATATTAAATATATAACTATGAAATTTGAATGTGATTAATAACTAATATGAAAATAAATGATGTGTAACATCCCACTTTACTATTATATAACTACTAAAATAAGTGTTACAAATATGATAACTGACGAAAAACTTGAGAAATCTAATTTTGAAGACTTATACTTGGAGAACTAAAACTTAACTATGTCACTGCTTCCGCTACGCCCCCCGCATTGAATCAATTGAAAGGACGTTCCCCCTAAGCTCACATCATTTAAGGCGATAATTGCAAAAGATAAAACAAAAACACAAACAAAGATAAAAGAGTAAGTTAATATAGAAAGACTAACACATAACATTCACAAAGTAACATATTATATTTTCAGTTCAATCTAAACACAACACCTAAACATGTAAGACATATACTCAAAATACATATACATGCGTTATTGTCGAGCTATGACAGGTTGTACACTTGTAGTGGTGGAACAGCTGTCCCTTAAGCTACCGCACAAGATTAGTCCGTTAAAGCGCCATTTGCCAATGGTATTGGCCCCTAGACTATGACATCCTATTACTCTCACCACATGACACTCCTCTCTACTTGAGAATGAATGACCATTTGAGTTCCTACAATAATACATACACTATAAGACACCACCATGGAATCTTTCCATGAGCGTCATGGAATTACGTCCATATACCATGCACATGATCAAGACATAATCATCATCTTCAAGACATCATATATTTGTGAACAACTACCATACATATTAATATTCAATATTTCATTTCATGAAGCATTATGCATACCACCATATTCATCTACCATAAAATATATACATAAACATGTTCACAAACCTTAAATATCCAATTATTCAAATCAATTAGGTATATCAAATTTATAAACTAACTTTCCCAAATAAAGAATCCAAAACAAGGAAAACATATAAGAACTTAAAAACAAAAGCGGCTAGAGAAAATTCATACAAAGATGACCTTTTGACTGAAATAATCGATTATCACACCTTATAATCGATTATTTCAGAGAGTTTTGTATAAAAGACAACATTCTGATTGAAATAATCGATTATCCGTATCAGTTTTGACATTTAACATGATTTTTCTAGTTTGGTTGCACCTATGACTCATCCAACAAATCAAATAGGTTTCTTAAATACTAGAATTGATGTTGTAACATATTTATGGTTAAAATGAAGTATCACTTTTTATACAATCCTGTTTAGGAAAGAATACGATCTTTAATGAATTTTAATCCTCGAGGGGCATAATAAAAATAAATCAGACAAGAACGCGGAATAAGACAAGGATGTGGAGACCACAATCTAGCAGATTGATAAGTCAAGTGAAGATTCGTCACAAAGATGTTAATCTTTGATAAGAATCAGAGTTCTAATCCAAGAACCAAGAGAATTCTCTCTAAAAAATACAAATGCATCAATTATGACTCAAAAAGTGTCCACATATGTATTTGATGCCCCTATATATAAGCACAAATGTTTAAGGCACCTAAGAAACCTCAAAGGAAAGCCCAAAGACATTGAACAAAAAAATAATTCAAAATTAAAAAAAGAAAATATAAGCAAATTATTTGCCATTAAAAGAAAATTGCAAATATTTTTAATTCTTTAAACTATTATATAATTATGCTCCAAGTCATGATCTTCACGTCCCTTGAATTTCAATCTTCATGGAGTATCATAAGCCTAAAGGAGATTTGTTCTTCCAATCGTTTTCTCCTTGACCTTGTCATAGGTCCTTTGAATTACAAAGGCTATTTCTCAAGTTTGTCTTCTATAGGATCAAGGGATAGTCC